TGGATTAGTAAACATTCGTAATTCTATCTATTTTTATTAATATAAAGACACTGCATTAATTATTTTTAATATTATTTTTCCACATTAAAATGTAATTTCTCCTAATTACAACACCAAGCATTAATTTTTTAAAATCTTATTTACAGCATTGCAGAAAGGATGAATAGAATCGGTGATTATTTTCCAATTTTTGGGATATGTTTGGGATTCGAACTATTAACATATGTTGTGGCACAGCGTACTCCACATAGGATAAACTGTAGCAGTCAGGGGCAATCACTTCCACTTGAATTCACGCCAGGTTGTTAGCTGAATATGTTCAATATTTCGATAGTAATTCTATTTCATAATGATAATTTTTTATAACAAGAAACCTTATAATTTCTTTTTAGATTACCGTGAAAGTAGGATGTTTAAAAACATTCCATTACAGATTCAGAACATATTACAGTATGAGAGAGTAACAGTAAACTTTCATAATTTTTGTGTTACAGAAAATGTAAAGTTACATTTATTAATTTTGCATCGATATTGTTTTTAAGGTCTTATAGCGTAATTTTTGCAGAAGTTAAAAAAGATTGGAGTATCCAACAAATTTAGAATATTGTCTTTGAATGAAGACTGGAACGGACTTGAATTCATTTCTTCACTAGAACATATTACATTACCTTTTTATGGCACACAATTTCATCCAGAGAAAAACCCGTATGAATGGATTCGAGGAAGAAATATTTCGCACACAGAAAATTCCATTAAAGTCTCTCGGTATTTTGCTGATTTTTTCCTTAGTGAAGGTATACCTATTTTGCAAAGACAGTCGTATTTTTTTCTTCAAAATAGCGTGAATTAATCTACCTACATAAATCTGCTTTATGTTCAGCACGTAAAAATCATCATAGTTTTCCAACTACGGACAAAGAAGCTGAAGCCTTAATTTACAACTACCCGGTGACTTATACTACGAAAACTCTGTTTTTACAATGTTATTTGTTCAACAAAAGCGACACCAGAATTTGACGTATTGGCCACAAAATGGAGTGCTCCGTGAATTTCAATATTCCCTTGGAAAGAAAGTTATGGGAATTCAAGATTAAAATCATTAAAATTACTGTCAATCATTTAACGAACGCTTATTCTAATAATATTATTACTTATGCTAGAAAAGCATTATTTTTATTCAAAATAGAATTAAAGCGTGGGAAATTATTACATGTAAGACAGGACACGTAGTATTCACATTTAACATAACACCAGTGTATATTGTGTCACAACTGGGATACATAATATTACAATGGTGCATAATAAAATTCTATACATATTTCATTCTATCTAAAGTAAATCATATTTTGAATCCTTTCCTTCACCATCGTATTTCCCTTTGAATTAAAGCGTTTCTGATTAATTGATTTTCAGGAACACAAAAAAAAAGATCCCAGCGTAAGTTGTATAAAAATTATATACGAAACAGATGAATTCCGAGTGCTAGTAAAAAAGTAAAATACTATCTAGCATCTCAGTTTTCTACACTTA